AGGGTGCACCACGTGGAGGTGAGTCTATCGCACACCCCTAGAATGAATCATAATATTTGAATTTTTGGACGTGAGCTGTCTATTTGCTAAATATTGTACAATCCGAAACCAAAGAACCAAGTGCGCTATGACTCTTTGACGCCTTAAGTCTATACTCTCAAATTCCATTCCGTCCCGGCTTCGGGTGTCTCCAACAATTAAAAATCGCCCAATTTTGCTGCATTGCTGTAGTTAATATTTATTATGTTATTATATATAATGTGTTGTGTTATTATTGGTAAATTCACTTTCTGAAATAGGGTGGGCATCTAAGTTTACATATGAAGATAACTTCTATAATCGTTTGCTTCAAAGTTGCGGCGAGGGTCAATGTTATTCTTGCTATGTCCTCAAAGATCAGATCAATTGGTGGGGGGGGGGGGTTTAATAGTTTTGTGATTGTTAGGATCAATATTTCTCTGTCATGCCCTCATGTCACCGTCCACATCAGTGACCTTTATGGATAAGGTCATCTAGCGTGTATTCGCTTGCTAATTTGTCGTCATTTCTAGAGATTTGGCTAAAATAACATAATTTAGTTGTACACCCAAAGCACAAAATGGCAAGGATTTGACTAGAATAATAAGAGTTGACTAAACAAAGTATAATATTGTATTTGTGTGTTTAATAATGCGAGAGTTGTCAATGGAGAGATATCTCATTGTCGATCGAACTCTTTACTCTCTGGGAGTATTGTTCTGATTAGATCGCAAGTCGGACCCTTTTACTAATATTTCCAAATCTGAGACCCCGATAATTTTGAGCAAAGTTATAAATGCTTACAGTCGACTCACCTTTGTCTGGAAACATTTATTCTATTTACCATGCAATTGTTCCCTTTCTGTTGGAAAACATAATAAATTATACAATTTAGAATCTGTCATATGTTCTTTTCATCTTTTTGAAATTCTTTTAAAGGTATGACATTTCAAAAGGCCCCTGCGCTGGAACGTCTGGGGACAACTGTCAACACCTACTTTATTATAATATTAATTGTTTCTTCCATGCATAGTTTTATGCCAAATTGATTAATAGGGTCTTTAAGAATTTGTATATTTGCCGTCAAGCAAATTAAAGAAATCTCTTCATTTTAACCTAATCTTTACCTATTATTTTCAAATTTAAACTTCTTGTTATTTCGTATACTGTTTTTTTGTATTTTTGGGAAATTTAAACTTAATTTATAGTAGGGGAATTCGATTGTTCATTTATTGCCTTTCACTAGTTAAAAATCAATGGGATTCCTTGTTGCATTGATAAAGAATTCTTGAGTGTTATAATTTACATATCCTAAACACGTATTTCATCTTTGAACGCTTATATTAGGAACATTTACTATGGCCAAATCATAAATACCAACACATTCGAGTCAAGTTCATTGGTTCGAAAACCACCGCCCACTACCATTCAATTTGTATTCTTTTAACCCTTTAGCGTCTGATTTATTTTTTGTTTGAAAAGATGCACCAAATCACACTCACGAGTGTCTTACAGCAGACTGACGCAACCGACGTGATGGGTTTTGGTCGTAGCAGGCGAAGGCTACATATTTATTTATATCAAATGGTAGGCGTTTTGATAGTTATCATTAGCCCTTCAGTTGACTTAAGGCTTCATAGAGGGGAGGAATATCAAAGTGAAAAAAAAGTCGAGAGTTGGGGGGGGGGGTAGGAACAGAAGAGTGTTTCAAAGATGTAGAAGAGGCAGGCACAAAGGAAGGAAAAAGGTGAGGTGAGTACTGTGGAAGTAGTCGAATATGGCATACACTGGGATCAGAGGTCAACTGCCGGTTAATAGATTTGTTTTGCCGTATGAGCATACGTTGCCCAGGGTGCACCACGAGGAGGTAAGTCTATCGCACACCCCGCGAAAGCTACATAGACGTATCGAACATATTTCAAACTGCAATAGCGTCTTCTGCTAAGTGACTAGTACCAATGGAGCCTATTTTGAAAGAGGACCGTTCGATCCTGAAGGTTGGCTGGTGGAGGAATAGAAATTTGACTATTCCACTTAGTGGATGCTTAGGGACTAAAGCTGAAATAGTGATGGAGTAATTCTGCTGCTGACTTCGAGTCAACTACGTCTCATTGATAGGGCTATTTCAACATGTCAGGGTTGCAATGGCAGTTGAACAAACACTAATAAATTGATTGTTCATCCCTTGTCTTAGGTATTTCTGCGTTTATCCATAATATGGAATTAGTTTAAATTCATTTTTAAGCTGCAGAAAGCAGATATTTGGCACAAACAATTTTGAAAGATTGGGTTACAATGTCCTTTTTTAGCGGTATATGGCTATTAGCCGATGGAGACTTAGCACAATTGTAAAAGTATTGAAGTAGTCAAATAGGTTCGGTTATCAATAGCATATTCCCAACGAAATCCTTTTTTACTTCCTACGTGTATGTAAAGGGTACCTTTTATTGATAGTTGTTTGCATACCCTACTTAGGTTATATTCGTCGAAGTTTATTCTTTCAGCCTCACGATTATTCCATCTTGAACATTTCTGTGGAAATTCAGCCCATTGTTTAGTAACTTCTGCTTTCAGTTTGTAGTTATTATAAAATATTCTTTTTTTTGATTCTGAACATTTGCACTTTTTCCCTTATCCACTTTTCCAGGAAGGCAATAGAACGCTTCGGTGTAGGTTCAGGCGGTACTCGAAATATCTCCGGCAACTCACTTCTTCACGAAGCTCTGGAACACGAACTTGCCGATCTGCACAACAAAGAGGCTGGTCTTCTCTTTACCTCCTGTTTTGTAGCCAACGAAGCGATTCTCTACACACTCGGCACACTGATTCCTGATCTAAAATTCTTTTCAGATGCCAGTAATCACGCCTCCATCATCCACGGTATTCGTACAAGCCGTGCCCCGAAATTCATTTATCCTGAGAACGATCTCAACAAGTTGGATGAATTGATGACCACTGAGTCATCACCTAGTGCACCAAAGCTAGTCGCGTGTGAAACTGTTCATTCAATGAATGGTTAGTATCAATATACTGAAATATATTAAGTAGCACCTATATCATTTTCAATCCGGCGTTTTCTCATTTCAGGCACCATAAGTTCGATCGAACAATTCTTGGACGTATGCGAAAAACACAATGCCCTGAGTTTTGTGGATGAGGTTCATGCAGTTGGACTCTATGGTGATCGAGGTGCTGGTGTAGCAGAGGAGAGAGGATGTATGCATCGTATTGATGCTATCACTGGAACACTTGGCAAGGTACGATAGAGGCGAATATTCTTTATTTTCCTGGAGGATTCTGTTAGTTATTTTAACAGCATTACATAGTCTGTTATTTGCCAATAGAAGTTACGCCAAGGGTAAAATGGTTCATAAGTACGGCGCCATTTGATCTAGCTTATATCACGGGAATACCCCTTGTGTCCTAGTTAAAATAATTATTTCCTTATTATACTAATTTATTGTCAAAAGCTAATAGGAACTATCCCTTCCAAAATCAACAGAATACGCCTTGAGTTTAGCCAAGGAGTATATTGGACAAACGCAGGGAGGTGGGAGAGGAAAGGGATGGGGAAATGGGAGGAAACAGACGTCAACGTAGTGATTGGAACGCAGATTGGGGAGGAAATTAATGGTCTTATACACCTCGTTTGAGAGAGCGAACATGTTAGAACTTTTTTTTATCTAAGTCTTAAGGTATTTAAATGAGAACGCACAAATATTGATAAGCATTCTTTCCCTAGGCTTATGCAAGTATCGGTGGCTACTTAGTTGGAGATAGGGCTCTCGTGGACATGATACGTTCCTACGCTGGAGGTCTGATCTTCACTACTTCTCTCCCACCGCCCACTTTAGCTGCTGCTCGGACCAGCATCGCTATTCTTAAGACGAGTGAAGGGCGTCAGTTGCGCGACGAACATCGTCGACGTGTTTCCATCGTGAGAAGACGTCTGCAGGAAGCTGGTCTTCCAACACCCGATCTACCATCTCACGTCATACCAATTTTTGTAAGTTTAAGTCTCATTGCAATCCAAAATGATAACCCAGAGAATTTGAGTTGCTATTCAAGCAAACTGCAAATGTTACGACTGGACGCTTATTTTCCCCAGAGGCGCTCTAGTCATGAGACGCATACTAAGAACAATACATGAATGAACCCTGTATCTAAGGACATGCATCATCCTAAATACTTGAGAGGAGTAGAATTCGTATTGATACAAACTGATCAATTTTAGTGAACAGAATGATCAACTGCGTTGAATATTACGATTTTCCTAAACTCTATGATAGTTGAAAACCCATTGATTGAGTCTCTATCGTTCTCAAAGTGATTAAACACAAATAGAGTTGGAGGATGTGACTAAATGATTATTTGGAGAGATGGAATCCGGAAGTCTTAAAAATAATCAGGTAGTGGATCAGAACCAAACTATAAAACCAGTTAATTAATTAATTGTATTGACTAAGGTGGGACAAATTTAGCATTTCACCTATTAGGAAGAAAAAGAGATGATCATCTAATAATTGACTATTTTTACGATTTCTAATCTTATCATTACACGTGCAGATGAGTAAGAGTGTGAAAGCGTTACTTCCGATATTTAATTTAGCATATCATTAGTAGAGAAAATGAGGCAATCAGAAGGCTTGTTCTATTTATAAAAATCACAACATTTTGCTCTTTCAGGTTGGAAGCCCCGAAATATGTTTAAGCATCTCAGAGGAGCTTCTTAGCAAGCACCAGATATATCTACAATCAATCAACTATCCAACAGTGGCTAAGGGAACTGAACGACTTCGTTTAGCGCCATCACCTTTCCATAACGATGAAATGACTGATCATCTTGTGAATGCGCTTGTGAAAGTCTGGAAATCCCACAAATTGCCCCTGAAGCATTAAATAAGACCAATTTCTTTTGATACTAATGAACCACATTGATTGTTTGTAGCAAAAAAATAGCGAATAAACTCTTTAGTTCTCTGGTTTAAAGTGAATATATATTGTTAATATTCTACAAAATATTTACATCATTTCGACGAGCACGAGATAACTGTTGGGGTCAAGGCTTGAATGTTTAGGTCGAGCGTTTGTTTTGGAGGATATTAGGATCGTCAAAGAATACCGTTTCCTTCATTTCATGGGCCATAAAACCTTAAAAACTTAGTTAAAAAAATCAAATGATCCTACCAAATTTACGGGCCCTTTCAATAAGCTGTGAAACGCGCTTTTGCATTGGGATGCAAAGACCTGTTATATGTCGACCATAAACTCGACCAGTGTATGGGGACACAAATTGAGATAAAAGTTGAACATTCTTAAAAGCTAAACATAAACGAATATAGCTTACCTTGTAATCTAAGTCAATGTTATTTTTGCAGATAAAACATTGTCGTGGTTTGCTTTTGTATGGATTTGGTATGTCGATGGGCTAAAAATACAAGAAAATTTTAAATATTTTACCATATCAGAACATTTTGAAGCTTCGGTTGATAAAAGTCTGCCGCCAGACAAAATAATGCTTCTTATCCGAAAACGAGCCGTGAGCATCGTGGAAGTCAACACATGCTAAGTTAGGCTAATTTCATCAGAATCTTACTTAATCTCTGGAAAAAATTAGTCAAATAACCGTTATTCCATAAAACACTTTATTTATTTTGGGAAATATTAAGAATAGAAATAATTAAAATTGTAATTTAAAACCGTTTTTATTTGTGATGTTTTATAATAATGTGATATTGATATGACTATAACAGAGGCTTTGGAACTGATAAACTTCATGAAAAACTTTCATAATACATGAAAGCATAATATTGTTATATTTTAAACGTTTTTTGATTTTGAGATAATTATATTGATATTCAATTGTGTAATCCATCTGAACATCAAACAAATTTGCAATAAAAGTTAAGACGACGACGGTTTCTCATGTTCAAAAAGTGAAATAGAATTCAAAAAAAGAGACAAAGCACCAAACCTAAGTTTCTCCTTTGAGATGGATTCAATTCTGCTACTTGCTAAATGACACGCGTGTGATGTTTTGGTATCTGCGTTCCCGTTCTAAGTTATTGTAGCTATTACGGATGAAATACAATTATGTTAGCATATCTACCTGCCATGCAGCATTAATGCTCTAACTCAGTTATTCTAATAGGAATTTGGATTTGTGACATAATTGCAGAAGGAATGCGTATTAATATCCGTTATGATTAACATGTGTAATGAGGTTAAAATAGATTGAAACAATAATTTGGCTGGATTTCCATCTGCAGATTTAACACATAGCATGTAGCACATTGCACACAATCACCAAGGTCTTAGAAATGGGGAATACAAGAGGAATTTGGAATTAAGCCGTATGTAAATTTTGATTAGAACATTAATGGAAAGGGGCAATGTAACCATATCTTCAGTTGCGCAGTCCTTATTGGCACCTACCTAATTGCATTCAGCAAAGGTAATGATATCCATCTCCATCAACTAAATAAATAGAAGAAAACTATGATGAAACGGTGTTTTTAAAGGTAAAAACAAATGAACTTATAAATGGATGGTCACTTCGACAGTGACGAAGTTTACTTATTCAAAGTTGAAATTACCAAAATCTCAAAATTTGAATATCCCTTAGAAATGAAATTAATTTTCAGCGAATGGTATAATGCCATATTTATCTCCATAATTAAAGTTTTATTTTCATGTGCCATTCTAATTTTATGATGTTTAAGTTCTCAATCCATTATTGCCATCCAATTACTGAAACACAATTAAAGCTAGTGCTTTCCACACGGCAGCTCGATTCATTGATATTATATCTTCATTTAATCTGGATCCGAAATTCGGCTTTAAGAGATAACGACTCTCTAGAACCTTTGGCATCCATGGCATTACGAATTTTCGAGTAAAAGCTCCATGCAGTCGGTTTGAACAGAAGTGAACTAAAATGAGATTATAAATACTGCAGATTTATAAAATCAACTGCGATATTTTATGACCACTTAAATATCACATTGAGTTTTTCAAAAATATTTTTCATTGTTCATGGATGCACTTTGGTTGTACCTAAGTCAATTCACGTTTTCAAATAGCCTTAGAAGCGCTTTTGCGTATATTTGTTGCGAAATGTCCGGGGGTATTGATCTGACACCATGTTTGGCTGGTTATGTGGCTGCTTTTTGTACCGGATCTCGAGATAAAGTAAAGGAATCACTGGTTTGTGAAGATATATTTTATGTTAGTATGTTAGAGCGTTTTTCCCGACTCGATAAATGCCAAATATGGTGACTCTACAACCTCACTTAAAAATATACTGATTTTTGCATTTCAACATGAACGTAGGTACCAGCATCTTCAGTTTGCTCCTTTGAAATCCGTTTTCAACAGGCAAGAAGTATGGCGTCTGCTTTTTTTAAAGATAATTAATGCAGCATTTATATGATGCGTTTTCACGTGTTCATTCCGTATGCGAAGATCTGCTTCATCCCTATAGACGTCTTCTTAGTGGGATTCTACCAACTCATATTTCCGCCTTATTGGAATATCTTCAATACTTTTGTCAAATTCGCTGCAAACTTCTTTCTTTGTACGCACTCGCCATTTGCGGGATCTTAATTTCTAAATTAATAGAGATTTTTCCTTTTTTGTGTAGCTTTTCAATTGTTTCAAATCCCGATACAGACATTTGTTCTTCAGCGGAGAATTTCAGTGCTGCTTTAGAAGATACTCTGGCTTTAGACGTCCCGGTAAATAGTCTGCAATCAGCTGCAGATCCGCTAATAAAAATTGTCAGGTATTTTCTCTCCGTGTTTATGTTTGGTTTTGTTACATAATAGGTTAGAGATGGAAATTCTTGCCATCTTATTCAACCTACAGTGCCAGTTGTCAAATTTGGAATTTCTAAACTCCATTCTCTCTCTCCAATCCCTGTCTATAAAATTGGATAAATACTCGACACGAAATGACACGGTCAGTGCTTTTGTTTGTTTATTCTCGATTTTAAATTTACATTGCTTCGGATAAACCTTCATTCGTTCGTTAATAACCTCTTTCGCATATGTTATTATTGAAGCAGGCACAATTGGATTTTGGGCTTAATCTTGTAGTTGAGTATCTACTTTCATTCCTTTTTAGGTTACCGATTTAAAGTTTTCAATGATGTCAACTATCTTAAATATTACTATTATTCTGTTTATTCAATTGTTGTATTCCCTGTCGTTGTATGTTTACATTTGGTGCCTGCAAGTTTAAGGTAGATTGGGTAGGCATTTTTTGCTTCAAAATCTCTGCACCTGTAGTTTTGTGTTTGTTGAAGTATAAATATCTTTCTCCGCTTAAAATAAACGCCAACCCTTTTACGAGCAATTGTGATAAATGTTGGAATTCGTAAACTTCTAGATAAGTAATGTAAGCCGGCTGTTATTTTCCTTTTAGATACGAGTGGTATATACACTTTTATTATAGTTCATATTGTTACGAGTGAACTCCCAGTTATTATGTCCTGCCTTGCATATTTATGTAACTGGACTTATTCAAAATATGTGGTACTGCTTGAAAAAAAAGTGCTTTAAAGTTGCAGTTTGCGTCATCCGACCTTCCACGTAAATGTGATTCATTTCCCTTTTCTCCTAACGTGTAATTAGTTGAATGGAAACGAAATTCCTGTTCGACCTTGTACTCGATAATATAAATTTTAGAAGAATTTTTTCCCTTTATTTACAGGTTGTAGAAGCACCGACCCCATTCATGAATTGGCTTCGTGATTTTCACTCCTTATTGTTAGCAAAATTTACTCTCTACTGGTACACAATTTTTCACCCCATAGCAACCAAATCCATCTCTATGCAGCATAATCTGGCCAAGGAGAACCCCCGTATTGTATTGCAGTAAGTGCTTCTTTACTACTACTGTGCTTATATGTTGTTGTTGGGATAGAGTGCCATTGTGTGTGGTATGAGGATGTGGCACGTTTTCTTTCTGAATGTCATTGACGGGATGCTCTGTCTCTGTTGGTATATATTGCATTTACATCTGCCAAATCCACGAATGAAAGCTCACATATTAGAAATTTCGAATTATGTTAAGAACATATATTGGTTAAAGAGAGATTTGCTGGTTGTCTCATTAACCGTCAATGACGAAGTTAAAAGTACAGTAATTGGTGAAGAGGGATGAACATTGGGAATTCAATTTTTCATTCTGACAGTTATGCAAACATGATTTCTTTCCGTGTTCCCAGTCTCCACAAGGTTGACATTAACTATTCTCTCATTCGATGGATTAAGCCAATTCGCTACCTATATAGGGCCTCTACAATTTATTAATTCAAAGCTCAGTTAACAAGTGTGTGTGTGTGTGTGTGTGTGTGTGTGCGTGTGTACGGTTGCTTAGCATTTTCATTCACTTCCATACGATGAATGGTAGTTATTAAAACTTGGCCTTTATAATAATGGATTTCAGATGTCTTACAAGTTGAAAAAAGTAACTTTTTTTAATTCTTAAGCGTTCAGGAGTTTGTTAGAAAGTACGAAGGTTCTAGTGTGTCAATTTTCTTCGACGCCTATCTTCAAGATTTTGATTATCTCGGGCACAGTTATGTTCCTCCTGGTGCGGCGGGAATGTACGTGAAAAGTTCTGTCGCAATCCCCTGTATCTTTACATATCCGCTGGTAAGTTGGGCTTCCTCTTGTTTACGTTCTCTGAACTCTAGACTGAATCGAATGCAGTTCCTAAGAACGATTATCCAGTGATAATGCGGGCTCTGCACTCTCTTCTCACTGTGACTACTTGGAAATCCCCTCGTCAGATTGTGGGCCAATTTGAAGCCCAGTTGGGGAAGACCTTCTTTGTGCAGAAACTGGAGAAACGATACTATATGGCGGTTGTTGTTGAGGACGAGCATGGTGCTCTTGTGGAAAACAGCCATATACGCGATTTTATCAATCGAATTTGCGATTGTACCCAGATTATTGATGTGGCTCGAACGCTCCAATCACGTAGTTGATTTTTGTGCCTTTCTTCTTTCGTAATCAATAAAGTACTCTTTTTGACTACATCTATATTTTCCCTTTCGTCGATTTTGAGTCTGGAGTGACGTAAAACATGTTGTGTTTCACTTCTACGTACCCATAGGTATGACGGAGGCTATCTGTGCTTATTAATCATTTGACTGATAGATCTAAACATTGTCTCCAGTTTCCACTGGTCGTGTCTTAGCATGAAGGATTGCAAGTTATACCCTATTAATCTTTACCCGCTCATTCATAGCTTGTCAAAGCAATGCATTTGCTAGAGGCTGCATGTTTTTCCGGGTTGAATTTGGTGATAATGCATGTCAATTGATCCAGAGGATCCTCGCGATTGACTTGAATTTTTTTCTGTTTAGCAGCAATTGGTCTTATGAATGCATAATGAATAGGGCAAAGATCTGAATTTTGCTGAAATTAGCCCCTTCTTTGCTCCGGGTTGAAATTGAGGTTAGGCATATATAACTGGATCCAACAGATGAAAAATTTGGAATAATAATTTCGTGTCAAATATTTTCTACCAATATTAAAAAAATGAGTCTCGAAGAAATCAGTCCTTGAATACTTCAATTTTATTTGGCTCGAGTAATGATCACTGCTTAATTGTCCTTACTACCTAAATGATTAATGATAAATGATTTTGTAGTTAGTGTCGAAGCCAATTTTCCATGATACAATTTTTCTGGCGGGTTTGCAATCATGCATATTTCTCTCCTCGTGCCATAATCCAGAAATATGGAGTGATGGCACTTATTTCGAAACGACTTAAGTATTTTACTCGAATGACCCAGCTCATATAAAAACCTATTGCTATCAAATGACAAATTGTGGAAAAAGTTCTTTCTAGGGTAATCGGCCGTGCCACCGCTCTTTGTCCATCGTTAAGTGCTGTATGAAGTAACCCGAGCTCATCTCATTAACACAGCGCTATTCAGCCAATCAATCTTGTTCAATATTTTAGTTTGAATAGACCCCCCCCNTTGAAAAGCCCCCCCCCCCCCCCCCCCCCCCTCGGCACTTTATAAGAGCTGATCAGCCTCCTGGATCCTGGTGAGAACACCGAGAAGCCCAGCTAAACGACAAATGAGTGCTGTAAAACTACTCAAATACCCGCGTCCCATTCTCAATCCCACTATTTGCCTTCAGGCACCCGTACATGGATTTCCAATAGGCCACTATTACACTCAGACAACTTGAGATAACTACTTATGATGGAATATGTTTACGCGTCTTAGTAACCATCTACCAACTATTTTGTCGCCCAATAATACACTAGAAACCAAGGAAAATTATTCCACACAAATACACGATGAAATAGATTATGTTTACTCATAAAAACATATATATTTAGTTAATAAATAAATCAAATAGAAGCGTATTAAAAGCTACTATAAATATAACTATCATTGTACACGCCTCAACGTTAAGTTAACGGGAGATACGGTGGCAGTTCATAAAAATGAATGGCAATTAAGCTCCGATAGTCTTCTCCACCTCCGTATCATCCATTAAAACAGACATCTAAAAGAGATACCAACAAGCAGAAATTAGCATTGAATCCTAGGCTTTTTGAGGTTCGTCTACTGTCTAGCTGGTGCCCTGTAACACTTCAATCAGTGGAACATACTTAGAGCTTATGATCTCTGGATTCACAGAGAAAAAAGGAAAACTCGCCTTTTTAAATGCTGACAAGAACATACAATTCTCCTTCTTCAACTGTTCAGAAATAATAGCCTTGCAATACTTCACTCTGGCCACTGCAGTAGCATTACTCGGGTTGACTTTAAGAACTTCCTCGAACCATTTCTGAGCTTCTTCATGATCATTCATTAGAAGATAAGCTTCGCCCTTCCTGTAAAGACTCTTTTCACTCTTATCAAATAAGTCAATGGCTTTGTCACATTCTTTCAGACATTGATCTGGACACTTCAGTTTGAGATAAGCTAACGCTCGGTTTTGGTATAGAGTGCATTTGAAGGACAGTAGGGTTTCATTTTCTTTAAAAGTTGAGGTTATAATAGAGGGAATATCGTCTAGAAGATCTTGGTACATATCAAGGGCAATTGTGTGCTTTCCCTCCTTGATAAATTCATTAGCTTTATCTTTCCAGGCTTTCATATTGTCCATCTTTTGGGCAAACGCCTTAAAAGCACTGGGAGTCTTTCTTTGCTCACAGGAGGTAACTTCTACAAGGAAGTAAATTGGTGAGCCAATGGGAACATCGTGTTCTTCGTACCACTCCTTGGGATAAACAAAGTCTTTTGCCACTTTTATCCTTCCCTTTTCACCCGCATCCATACGAGAGAGACCCAAATCAAAACCTTTTGGCAAACAATTGCTCGCGTGGTCACCAACAATATATTTAGCAAGTTGTCGCTCACCAATAAATTTTTCATTGGCATATTCTTTTATTGATAAGCAACAAGTTGCACCAGGTCGAACAGGAGTTCCAGCATTACCTCTTTCGATATGAGTTAAGAAGACAGAACCAATATTTGAGAGATAAACATCATCACCTAAAGTATAATGAGAATTGATATTTTTTAATATACATACCGTAAAAGTCTACTAATTCTAACTCAATTAAACATGAATTGCCATCATTAAATGCATACTCGGATGTAATAAATATTTGGCAAGATTCACCCATTTTCATTGTTGGAATCGTGATATTCCAACCCTCCATAACAACAGCTGCAAAGTATGTACTCGATGATAAAGGAACCTACGTCGTCCAAAACGGAAAGTAAGTTGCTCCCTTTTATTGTCGGTACAGTAAAGATTCTGTTGGTCTTTATCTCCACCTATATATTTGCCAGAGTAAATAACAACTACATCGTCTCCAGCAACTGGGGACAGGTCCAATTTTCCAGGCTTAATTACCTTTTTTAAAACACCTCTATCTTCTGTAAGGGCCGTAAAATCATTCAAGGGAATAGGAACTTCGCTCATACCGAGTTTTGAAACAACTTAATGAAAACAGATCTTACATTGACCAATAAAACGGCAGAAAGAGCTACCGACTAATTAAAGAGTTAGCATCAATTTCAAATCTATTACATTTTATAACCAAAATGATGTGCTATTTTCTCACAAGGTAAATGCTCATTTATAATTTTAATTATTCATGTTAAATAACTTATTAATAAAAGATAAGTTACATTATTATCCTTAAATGATTATTTTGTTTCATTGGCAATTCTAACCATTAAAGTAGCAATTTTTAGACTTTTCTATAAAGAATTCATTGTTTTAAGGTCTTTCAACCTTCCCCATTCAGTAAGACGAGGCCAAGTGTGATTTCCATTTCAACATTTTTTAGTACATAGAGAAACCTCAAAGCAACGGCATAGATAAGCTGAACTCCTGTAGAAACAGATTTATTGGATTGGATGTGGGTTGAATGGTGCGGCACCAATCGTCAGATCATGTTGATATTGTCGAACGATCTGTTTTGATACTATTGAAATATTTGGACTTCTGGTGTTTTGGACACTGGGTAGTTACTGATAGAGAACAGATTAATCAGAGCGTCATGGTTCATATCTATAGATAGTTTCGAAGAGAGCGAGAATGGGGATGATCGTGGCCAATTATATAAAGAAATAAATATATTAATTTCAATAAAGGATTGCAAATATAAAGGTGTTATATGGTCGGTGTAGCTGTAAATGGTTGATAACTTGCCTCAGAATAAAGTAAATGCTGTGGTCAAATTTAAATATTTTTTAAAGGTAGCTACTTTGACATCCATTGTTCTAGTTGCTGCTATCTAATTTCTCCGTTATTTTGCAATGTGGCCTCTCGTTTATTTCAATATATATATCATTGGACTCCGTAAATAAAATTATTGCAACAAATCTATTCATCTTTTGAATATACTTCTGTACTTTTCAACCGTTCAAGAAACTTTTCCTAATTCCTTTTTTAACTTAGACTTCAAATTTTTCTTATTTTTAAATCGAAAAAATGTTGATATATAATCGCTATAACTGTTGCGAGAAATGTCAGCCGTTACATTCTTACTCGTACTATTTTCACTTATTTCAAGTAGTCATGTTTTAAGGTATATGCTTTATAATAATATGTACAAGTTGGCAATGACACCTCGAATGTAAATACTTTAATTATCATTGAAACATACACCAGAATAAATTACCCTCATTCGGGTTCTATACAGTGTGTTTCAATACATATTCGATAAAATCATACGTTATGCAAAATTTCGATTTTCATTGCTTTGTATAGTAATAACTCGAATCCACGATTGTAATGATAGTGATGGAAAGGGGAATAAGATTAAGTCGGCGATCAAATATTTGACAAGTTTGCGCGAGTAAGAGGGAGCCCAAAGACAATTTAACTGTGCAATGAGCATAATAATATGTGTTATTAAATGCCATAATCGTATCAAAAAAAGCCATAAATTCGTCTTCCCATGACAGAAATGTTATCAAGAACTACTTTAGAAAATGCGTGGGAAATCATCCTTCAATTGATACACAATTAAGCCTCACATTTCCAAAATATTTAGAAAGGTAAAATATTGGAATTGCTTTATTTAAATAAACGATATATTTTGAACTCCTTATATTACGCCTCAAAATTATAACTATAGTAATGGACTCAATTCTGTTAGCAAATCAATAATGGGATATTTTGGAAACATCAAAATTTATTTGCAGAAAAAGAGCTTCAATGATTGATAAAGTTCCCGAACCAAATTTTTCAGGATTCAGTAGTTGCATCTTTTACGGTTGTAGCGAAGAATAATGTAATAATAAAAGTATAAATATCAAACTGAACTTTGTTTGAAAATATTTCATGCATATTTAGACTTTTAACATTTTACAAATTACCAATTAGGGTGATTGTACAGTGCTATTTCTGAAGGCATTATTTGGATTGTCCGAATAAATGGTAGAAAATTCGTCCAATATGCACAATATTATTAATTCGATATTAAATTGGTTTGAACTGAGGGCATGTTAATATTCATTTGCAGTGATTAACAGGATAAATTTACTGTGGTGCAGATTACTTTTAACTAATATTTTGCAGTTTAAATTCTCTTGCAATTAAATGTATTAAAATAGAATATCGGGTAAACTGATTTGATTAACTTCAGATTTATTATAAATAAAATATTTCGTACTGGGAGCTAAAGCAAAATGGTAAATTTCAAAAGAACCTTTCATTGCCTTTTATAATTTTAAAAGTAGATACATCCAGATGCATAAGTGCATAGTCCAAAGCATATTTTCTGGCAGAAAATTTTATAAAATGTATTAATAATTATTTTTATTTACTTGGCATTGCAAGTGAATTATGATAAGCCTGAATGGGTTAATAAATTTATCAAGGACTAAATCAGCCTTGGGAATTATGCGAACTGGCTGCTGTCTCGCTAGAGTTGTGAGAATGTCTGTATCAGATCTTAGAAAACTAAATTATGAGGTATGAATAAATTTTATTCTAATTTTGAAGGAATTACTGGTAAAAGCAGCTTCACTAGAAGATCAAGTTATCAATTTGCGAGGACGGCTGATGAACTTTCAGAAATCTAAATCATTCAATCCTCTTAAACCTATGGATTTTTCGAAGTAGTAAACCATATCTTCATAAGAGTATTAGATTCACAAAGCGTCGTATTGCTCTGAAAATTCTATATACAGGTTGGGATTATAGTGGTTTGGCTCGGCAAGATTCAAGTACATGCACAGTCGCTGAGAATTTGATTACAGCACTTTGCAGATGCCGTCTAATTGAAGATCCCGGAGCCTTAGAATTTGCTGTTTGTGGAAGAACGGATAAAGGTGTTAGTGGTCTTTCACAGGTGTGTTTCAGCTTTTTATTTAACATTATTTAGGTAGTTACTCTAACTGTTCGCTCAAATGTACATGAAGGCGTCGGTGTTATTTCACCTGAAGATAAATCTAATTTATGTAATTTATCGAGGTTTTCAATATTATTATACTTTTACAGGTCCCGAAAAACCAGAGGTGGATTATGTTTTGGTTGCAAACAAAAATCTCCCAAAAGATATACGTGTTCTAGCTTGGTGTCCAGTTCCACTTGAATTTAGTCCAAGACGCGATTGCTTAAGTCGTTCATATAAGTATTTCTTTCCGGGCGCAGATTTGGACATCGAGCTTATGCAAACGGCCTCCACAAAATTGGTCGGACTTCATGATTTCAGAAATTTCTGCTCCTCTCAAGTTAACAACGGTGTTGTTAATCACGAAAGAGTAATCTATGAAATTAAAATTACTGATGAATCTGAGGATAAAATGTAGGCATTTTTATGAATTCGGTTTCTCCTATCGAATTTTTAGGAATCCTCGAAGATTCTGTTGTCTATACATACGAGGCACTGCCTTCTTGTACCATCAGATCCGTTGTATAGCGTCTCTTCTTTTCACTATTGGTAGAAAAATAGAACCCCCAGAAGTAATTTTTTTAAATATGTTTATAAATCCTCATCAGATTTTGGAAGATCTTCTTAATGTGAAAAAGTTTCCCGGAAAACCGCAGTATCAAATGGCAGAACGTAAGAAATATTGATATCCTTTATGATTTGTTAATATTTTAGCTGAGCCGTTGCTCTTTTTCGAACCGGAATTCGAAAATATCGAGTGGCAAACAAGTCCCACCGCGCAGGAAGATATTTTGAAATGCGTGCAGATGTTATGGACTCAGACAGCTGTGAAGTAAACTGAATTTTTTTGTCACTTATTTATTCATTTTATAGATAATTGCTTTTGCGCCAACAAAGCTTTGATTGCGATCTTTTGAAAACAGAATTTTTTAGCATAAACTATACAAGCTCATTTGTCTTACTAATTTGCATTAACTGGTGTCTTTGGCCATCTGAGTGATGCTTGTTTCTGCTTAAGAAACTTTAATTAAAAGTTCATCCATATTTATGCGCAGGCTGTCAACAATTTCTTCCGCTGTCGTTTACTTTCGATGTTTGCTTGAGTTTACAAAATTGGTGCTGTCTATAGTACAATGGGGGAAAAGTATGTGGTCCATAATTTTCGCAAATAGCTCATAGAATTTTTACTCATTTGTGATTATCTTATTTTATGTTTTTGCGTCGGGGTTCTGTAAGTATTTCGATGTGAGAAAACACCACAGGTGCAGTGGATGACATTTCAGTGAAAATTAGCTTCCACGTCACCCTTTTTTTCTTTTAGAAGGAGTGAATTTGTGGCTGGTTTATGAATGGTATTGACGATAAGTATCGGTCTCTATGGTCGGCCATGAACTCATTATTTACTTGTCTAATTTACATCTCCTTGTTGATTAGTTAAATTTTGCCCAAAGACTTCTATCGACCTTAACAATATTCCCCCTTGAGTGGAATTTTTTTGTCAAAGAGTTGTGTTTCTTTGTTATAATTAACATTTGTATGTATTTTTATTAGAGCCAAGATTACTGAAACCATGCTAGAGGCGGTGGAAAGTAAGTCAGCATTTGCTTCGAACTCTCGCTTTCTTTCCTGTTTTATATTCGTTTTACATTTTCGGAAGAAATGTTTCCGGAGTGCCGACAAAATAACCATTTATGGGCAATTTCCCGAGAAGCTTCTGCTCTACTGGGTCCTAAACGGAAGTCTATTCTGAAAAGAACAACGGAAGAACCTCTGGAAGAAAAGATCAAGAGGTTGGAGGCGAAACGACCCCGAAAGGATGTAGAATATAATAAAGACAGTGATAGTTGACTGTAAAAATTTATAAAGAGCGTGTAATACATAATTAATCTTCTATTGATTAAAATTTCTTGTTTAATACGTTATAAAGCTCCTGAAATAGTAAGAAAAATGTGATCATTTTCAGTGGTGCCTTATTGTCATCACGGGATGTCAACAGGATTTGACACTATTATCTATTTCACTTAGTTGAAAATAATTTAGCTTTATTGTTCAGAAGAGAAATGGGAGGCATGCTGTTTCGTTCTGGTGATTGCTATCAAAAATCACTCGATGGTCTGAATGTGACCGTGATATTGAATTACTGTAAAACTGACCTCTACCTCAGTAAGGTACTCATTACACATTTATCATGATCACTACTATGAAGGCTTTCCTAATCTAAGGGAAAGAAGACTAGAGCAATGAAAAGGGGTGTTTTTATTGATTGTTAATATGGGCCGAATTTATCATGAATAGATAACCGTCTATTAAATCTTGATCCTCAAGAAACTAGAATATTATGGTATCTAAAACATGGGGTAATTGAAATTATGTGCCTTGATGATCTAAAGATGGAAAAAATTTGGTCAAATTTTAGAAGTGGGAGAAAATTTTTATTCTTTATCTCATTCTTTTTTATCGATAACCATTTGAGATCCTTTCAATAATTTTGAAGACAAATCAGTGCGAGTTACAAATTAGACAAAGAACCACTTCGTCATTCGAATATAGGAAAATTATGTCTTCTTAATAAATGACTATGATTATAGTTGACGTAAGAAAAGGACAATGATTTGTGGGACACGTCATCGCATGCACACACGCCAGGATTTGGAGTGCTCAGAGATATTTAGCTATAAACGTAAAATCGAATTATGCTAGATTTATTTGAAAACTAATCGCATTTGGCGATGTCATATTTTGCAATAATCGTATTCTGTGTAATACGCCCCTTTCCTCCCAAGCTTAGCTAGTTCTAGGAGCCTAGTTAGATATAGGAGAAAATACCATAAAGATTTCTGAGTCGGTCAAGGCTTTATTAGTATAACAATCCGCTACAAATTATTCAAAACGAGTTAAACAAAGATTTACAAAAAACTGTGAAGGATTTCATTCCAAAAGAGGCACTGAAGTACTGAAGCTCAAAACACCCGATAAATTGAAAGGAAGTCATTTAAATCGACGTAATTTATAGAAATTTCATAAAATGCAAAGTATAGTTTTTCAAAGGGAAAACATAGAGAAATCATATTAAAGCATGATCGAATAAGATCCGAAGAGATGTCGAGCAAAATATCGAATGTTCAGTTCCAATCATATATGATAATCATTAGTGGTACCAACAATTTATAACGACAAATTCGAGCATTTAAAATTATGACGACAAATCATATTTACTACTCATATTTATTTAAATAGATTTCACCAACCCATGAAGAACGATCAGAAAAGTGAATGGTACCTCAAAAACTACTTTGAAGTGAGTAAATCTCAATAATAAAATCTTTCTGCGTAAACTCATGTAGGACACATTCACATAGACGACAAGAGATAACTTTGCCTAAAGTGAACATTTCATTCATTTTAATATTGATTAAATTAAGTAAAAAATAATTTTTGTATGCACAGGAAATAAAATATCTTGAAATTAAGCTTGCACTATATCCAATGGAGTATATCAAAATAGTTGGGACAGGTGTTAGATGCCAATTTGGTTTCTGAAATGAGGTCGAAAAATGTTTTTTTTCGTCAAAGGCAAATATATAAATTTATATACTATAAATGAACAGATTTTTTACTGATTATTCTCTAGGTCAAACCCGACCGCGCGGTTGAGTTCGCGATTTTCGAATCAAAAATGGGCTCTCTTGATGATTTTGACCTTTATCTTAAGATATTTTATCGGAAATTATTTCCTTGTGAATTAATGTGCAAATGGCTATCATGTGGTTCTAAACAGATGTCGGAAGTCGTAATGCGATTTTTCTTTATAGTTATTAAGTAGCTTTCTAGAAGGGAATTTAGTTTCACATTGCCTGGTGATGTATATGTACGCTATCAAAGTTTTAATGATTCGGCTTCCTTTCGCAAAGAGCTTATAAAATCATGTCCCCACAAGATTGATATTGGAGCCGTTTACAGTGCTCCACCAAAATTACAGAGATCACTATCTTCTGTGGCATTTACAGTAATATTTGGAACTCTATATCCCAGTTACTATTAATGGAATGTAATCATCTTCGTTTTTTCATTTTAAGCCCGAATGGAAGGAATTAGTTTTCGATATTGATTTGACTGATTACGACGAAATTCGATTTTGTTGTGGTGCCCAAAATCCTGATGCCAAGACGCCTATATGTGAAAAGTGTTGGGAGTTAGCCAAGTGTGCTGTTATCTGTGTGGATCGGGCATTGAGGGAGGATTTCGGGTTTGAACACATTCTCTGGGTTTATTCTGGCCGTCGTGGCGTTCACTGTTGGGTTTGTGACCCTATTGCCCGGCATCTTGATTCTGCTGCACGTATGGCAATTGTTGAGTACTTATCTCTTACAAATTTTACCGAAATTCGAAAGGTAGGAAGTTTCTCTAGTAAACTACCCAGCTTCCTTTTCTCTTTAGAACAAAAAATCAGCTCAACTTTCAGATCAAACTTTCCATCCAGCTATTGAATCGGCTGCGCGTCTCTTGAGCCCGCGCTTTTCAAAGTATTGCATTTCTCAAGATATGCTTGATTCCCATTATCCCGAGCGTATAAAATGGATTCTTAAGTACCTACCTATTGATATGACCACTCACCGAGCCAAGCTAACTGACCAGTGGGTTTCTGATAGTGGCGACAATTGTTCAACAGCTAAACGATGGAATACACTCGAAATTTTTCTACAAGATGAAAAGCGTAACAATGTTATCAAGGATATTGTCTTGAATACTCTTTATCCCAGATTGGATTCTAATGTATCAATAGGTTTGTGCGATTTCTTCTCCTTCATACCCCTTTCGCAACTTTAGGTCCCGGTCACTTGCTCAAGAGTCCCTTTTGTGTTCACCCGAAAACCGGTTTTGTTTGCGTTCCCTTTGATGCTAAAGAGGTTGAAGAATTCAATCCTCTAGCAGTTCCCACTCTGCCCAGCCTAGTCGAACAGTTATCTCAAACAACTGTCACATCTGACGAGCCTACAGGGCAGCATCTACTTGCTTACAAGAACACTGCTCTAAGACCATATGTCGAGTACTTCGAGATCTTTGTCAATCGTTTATCGGCTTCTACTGGAGTCGATAACGATTTTTCACCACAAGATGTTAACCTATCGTAAAATAAAAATCTTTTTAATAGCAATTAATTTATTTATTCCTGAGCAAAGCAATTTCGTGTTGATTGATCTCATATTTGTTGAGCAAGAAGTACCTAAAAAGAGAATACCTTGAAGCAAATAAATGCTTAGCTACCGGTGCATGCTCCATCATTGTTCTGAGTATATTGTCATACTTCGATTTATATCTGCGTCCGGACAGATTAGCCGCCTGTAAAATTTCCTCCCTATTACTCTCACTGCTACGAATAGAGGCTGCTCTAAAATGTTCTTCGGCTCTTCGAAAATCGTGTTTCATGAAGAATGCCTGTCCTAATCTGAAATAGTATTTATCGTCTTCAGCGCCATTTTGACTATAACGTTGACAGTGACGGAGGCATTTATCAGGACTACCAATTTGGAGGGAAGCGAGAGCAGCATTTAGATGCGCCCGTGGAATAGCCTCTTTAGGACACCTATCGGTATAGGAAGAAGTACAATGATCGTAAATCTCCTCTGCTAATCGACACTTTCCAGCTCTTAAGAAGTCATCTGCCATTTCAACAGACACGGTACCACCACTTATGGAAGACTCAACTTCTACATGGTACCAAACCGCTCCATTAGAAGGAAATCCGAATTTTTCACGTTCTTTATCTGAAATTTCGTTTATATTTACCAATTTCAACCATCCTCCTTTGGGACCCAATCTACGCAATTGAGCGACAACCGTCCGAGGCAACTCAGTATAGTCTGCATCTGCAGCAAACACACTTGCTCTATGTTCATGGTAAAGCTGACCATTACAATATCCTTTAGCGTGTATGTCTACCTTTTGACCTGGATATAAAGAGCCACAATCATGTGCGATAGAAAAAACCCTTTGCACTTGATGTGAATATTCATAAAAGGCGCCAAAATCAATCAATTTTATGCGACAACGGTGAGCCTCACTGCCGCCAGAATATTTAGGTTGCAAAATAAATTCACTGATTTCGCCGAGTTCCATAGATACTAATGCGTATTTTAAATAGTTGCGCTCAATGCCACGAAAATGTATTGTCCGTATTGGATCTTTTTCAGTGTCAGACTCTACAACCTCCCCTTTCTTCGGCCCATCTTCATATGTACGAAGGATTTCCACAGTGAATTGATTATTTTCACTTGGTTTAACAGGGATCCAACCCTTTTGAATTACCTTTTTAAGAATTCCGTTATCATCCGTAACACTTTCGAAAGCATTCACTGTTTCACTTTTCTCCATTCTTAGACTTCGAAATATCTTAAGGATCTCTAAATATGATCACTTAGATGTAACCTTGAGAATATAACTACAAAACAAAGATTAACGATCACTTAAAAATAAAATCCTATTTAAGATGAAAACATTTAATTTTAATGTATTTATTTCCATTTACAATAAATACGTTGGTTTTTAAATATCACTCTTGAAGCAATCATCTAAGAATTTTAAAATTTACTATTTTTCATATAACTTTCATCAGTAATTAATATGAAGATAGATTTTCGGTCGATAGTAAACAACTATTTTGTTGAAAACCAGCCACTTTTTGATTGAAATTAATAAATGCGCATAAGTTTAATAAAATAATGAAATGGAAAATATTTTCTTTGATTTACTTTCACAGTTTTAATTTCTTTTTTTGAACTACCTTGTTGGCGCATTGCAGGCGTCATATGGAGTTCTCAGTTCTGCCGCACTTTATTTTACTGCTGGCTTGCTAATTTTTTTATTAGTAAGCTTAAAAGCCAGAAATCAAATCAAAATGGTGGAGATTTCTTTCAAGAAATTCTACAACCGTTTTCTTTATGTTACTGGTTTATACATGTGCGACCCGTGGGAACAGAAAATGTGCTGTAAGTTGTTTATTCATTTTATTTTGTGATGATGTTTATGAATTATATTTTTTTCAATATTTCTTTGAGTTGCGCGATTCAATGTAAACTTGATTTTCTCTTTTCAGTTGCTCTCTTTTTTGGCTTCATCTTCACCCTGCTCGTATCTGCATTTGTGTTTCTTCCTTCACACGCAACGGGTTTCTATTCCTACCTGCAAATTCGAAGATCATTGCACAATTTAGCCAATGAAGTTTAACAATATTTGCCGAATGTTCTCACTAACACCTAGCATACTTTATTCTTGTTTCTGTTTTATAGTGCACCAAGTGTCTTAATAATCTGTTTTTCTTGATTGAATGCAGTGTTTTATTTTACCCTTGATAAATCCCTTTGTTTTGTCCAAAATGAGGTAAAATCATCTCGGTTAATATTTTTAAAGGTTCATTATTATTTTCCAGTTCTTATTGATTTGACAGTGGGTAGCTGTTTAATCAAATTGAAATTAAGGGATTGAAGGGGTATAATTTTTGAATTGGTGTTTTTTACCTTGTTCTAATGGACTTTCTGATTTTCATTGTACTCATTTAGTTCCAGGGGTGGCGTAAGAAATGCTCATCGGGCCGGATGGACTCGTGTTAATTTTCTTACCGAAAGCAATAATCTTCCTCGAATTAGCAAGTTTCTAGATCTTTCTTATTTTAAAAATATAAATGAAGAGGAAGGGGGGCTTATTTAAGAAATCGAAATTGGAAGAACAAATGGTAGATGTTTTGTTTGAATAATTCGTTGATGAGTTACTGTACGTTTTTTCACGTCCTTTGCTTGCTTGCTGAATGAAACTCACCACACTGTCAATTGTGTGAGATGTGTTAGCGCAATAGGTTTATTCATTTTTATACTTGAAGACATCCTGTAAAAATGACCCAAAATCACTTTTACAAATCCCGATATTAAACTGACCGGAAAAACGCAGAAAAAGCAGCGAAATGTGAGTTCTTCTCTCAGTGTGTTGTCTTCCTCTGATCGAGAGATGAGTGTTTTGGTTCACTGCCCTTTACTTTCTATTTCTGCGCTCAGATTTAAAAATCCTAAATTTTCCAACCCAAAACTATCTTAGGTCGGACATTATACTTGACAGAAGATGTTGAATTGTCACCAACCACTTAATCATGTAATGAGCCTCTTGAGAATTAGTATCTGTTCTTTACGACTTGTTGAAACCTTTTTTTATAACAAACTGACTTAGTGTGAAGTGAAATGGAAAAATCTTTCCTCAAGAGTATCTATTAGCTCTGAGGTGGCAGCAATGACTGTGTCAGTGACTACGCACTATCAATCCGGGGGGGGGGGTATAAGCTAACTGGAAGATCAAATACTTCCAACCTAATTGTAATACCTCCAAAATCTACTTGGAAAAACGTTTTTAGCGTTATGGAACAGCCACAGAATGCAGGTTTCCGTCACCCCCTCCCCTTTATGAAAACAACAGTTTTCCTAAACCGATTATCGAATTAGTAACTTGGCCTCAACCTTTTTATTTATATAATAGAAACTTTACCCGTTCAATAATCTTGTAGATGGGGCTTCTACTCTAATTGCGAAATTGGGTTGTACTTTGAAAAATATTTTATCAGAGTTATATTATGCATGCTTTTAGTTCAGTTTTCTTTTTTTTAACCAACGCATTACATTTTACCACGGGGTGTGCGATAGACTTACCTCCAAATGGTGCACCCTGGTCAACGTATACTCATAGGGTAAAAAGTCTATAAACCTGCAGTTGACTTCTCACTTCAAACTACCATCACCCCCACTCTATGTTATATTCGACCCCTTCCACAGTACTCACTTCACCTTTTTCTACCTTCGCCTTTGAAGCACTCTTCTATCCCCCCCCCACTCTCGACTTTTTTCACTTTGATGTTCCTCCTCCCCTTTGTGAAGCCTGAGGTCAACTAAAGAGCTAATGATACCCATCAAAACAATTGCCATTTGATGTAAATAAACATTTCATGACAGATGCTATTTTAAATTTACTTCCTATCATTGATGCATCAGAATAGATGGATCTATGTTTACTCTAAGTCTCCTAAATTAGACATTTTTGTTTCCGTTAGAGTGCGCATGCATCAGTAATTATAATTGGACGATAAAAATCAAACAAATTTGGTCATACGGTCGGGAAAATATGATACAGCGCCCTTTGAAGATATGTGGGTCAACAATTTTTAGGCACCAATCACGAAGAAGCTATAAATGTTGTAGGCTAAAATGGTGCCCGTTGGGTTAACTTGAGAAGTAAGGCAGGGGGGGGCAGGTTCATACAAAGTATTCTTCCATCTTTATTACAAAGAGAGTAAGTTGAAAGCTAGAGGAGGCAGGCGCATCTGTGTTGATAACGCGGGCTAGTGTAGGATTTGCAAGTGCAAATGAGTATACCAAAAGTCTGCATCACGCTTAGCTATTTACCCGTTTTCAAAAGCGTTTCGAATTTTTGTTTTTGTAGTTGTGTTAACGATACATTGATCAACACTACCTTTTGCTGAGCCAGGCAGTTCCGTAGCGAAAACGTCAACTAATTTTTTTCCACAAACTAAGCGTTATTTGTATAGTCGTCACTATTTCGGAGACCCATGTTATTGACCTTAAGACCTAGTCTACCAATGGTACCTAAAGTGGTAAAACCTGTTGTTTCTTCAGGGGTGCTCTCAGGTTTAAATCACATAATTGGCACCTTAGTGAAGGTTATGGAACAGAAGCCATTTCACCCCCCCCCCATATTATTCCCTATCAAAGACTGCGCAAATACTCATGTGTAAGCATGCACACAATGAAGGCTGCTCACCACTGTCTTGTATTCACTTGGTTATGTGGTAAAGGTCGTGAGAAGATCGTTAGAAGCTACACCGCCTTTCAAAATGTCACCAATTAATTTTTGCCCAATTTGTATACAATAAGAACAAATAACCTTGACATTTTAGCCATTTATAACATAAAATTTGGCATTCCTTCTGTTAACTGAGATTAAGTTACTATACGTAAAGTGCCAAATCAATGCAATAATGCCTAAAGTCAAGAATTTGAAGAAAGGGTGAATTTCGAATAATCTATTGACATAAAAATGCGCATTGAGGGTTTATAAATAGAAGGCAATGTAAGAACAACTTTCTCTGAATCCTATTTCTCAAGACGATACAGAAGTGCGATTTGAAACCTTCATCACGGGCGCGCACACTAGGCTTAAGGTGCGACCGTGCAACCTCGCACACGGATTGGTTGCGGAAAAGCACAGCCAATAACCAATAGAAATCCTGCTACAGAACACTACTCATAGATATTTAGCTATTAATGTTCACTCGAATGGGGTGTGCGATAGACTTACCTCCACGTGGTGCACCCTGGGCAACGTATATTCATACGGCAAAAAAGTCTATTAACTGGCAGTTGACTTCTCACTTCAAACTACCATCACCCCACTGTATGTCATATTCGACCCCTTTCACAGTACTCACCTCACCTTTGTTCTACCATTGTGTCTATCTCTTTTACATCTTTGAAACGCTCTTCTGTTCCCCCCCCCCCCTCTCGAATTTTTTCAATTTGATGTTCCTTCCCCTCTGTGAAGCCTGAAGTCAACTAAAGGGCTAATGATAAATATCATAAATCCTGCCATTTGCTATAAATAAATAAATGTTCACTCGAATTATGCTAGATTTATCTGATAACTGATCGTTTTACCAAAATCACAATTCGCTATCAATATACGTACTGAATAAACGTGCTCCGTGCTACACGTCTGTTTCCTTTATAGCTGGGCTATAGCTTAGCTTGTTCTGGGAGTCTAGCTAGATGTTGGAGAATCGGCCATAGAGATTTCTGAGTCGGTCAGGCTTTACTAGCGTAGCAATCCACTACAGCATAACATTGTGAGTGGTAATTAAAGGTTGGCTAGAAATTGACGAAGGAAAATTTCTGGCATCGAACTAAGTGGAATAAGACACTTAAAAATTGACTTTCTTATTGAGTTTAAGGAGTTTCCTGAAGAAAAGCAAATACACCCATGTGAAAAGTTTTAAGTCTGCGAAATAAATAAGTTAAATGAACCGAAATAGGAAGAAAAAAGTTATTTTTTTTCACGAGATCATGTGAAGAAATTTTTTAACCTAAAACAGTTGTGCATTAGTTTGAAAAATCACACATTTTCTGATTCTGTGGAGGGCACAATGCTATCAAGGTTGATCAATGTGTAGCGGATTGCTACGCTAGTAAAGCCTGACCGACTCAGAAATCTCTATGGCAGATTCTCCAACATCTAGCTAGACCCCCTGAACAAGATAAGCGATAGCCCAGCTATTGGGGAAACAGACGTGTAGCTAGGAATACGTTTATTCGATACGTATATTA